CCAGAATAATCTAACAATATAAATCTTTCTTAGTGGAATCCATCTGGTTTGGTTAGTTAGTGTTGTAAGTATAAACGACGCATTCACATGATAATAATGAACAGTGAAAGATTGCAGCAACAAAATTGACATTTGATAAGAAATTCGGTCTTGTAGCTGAGTCGTATGTGCCTGCAGCCAATCTAGAAAACAGGACACTTCGAATGATGATACGAATTACGTTCTAATCTCAACTTTAATCCCATCATGTGAAAGTTAAATTCAAATTGTTTATAATATCATTATTACTATTATTTGTCCCTTAGGTTCCTAATGGAACACACGGCTTCAGTAGACGTCTCCAAGGCGCTCTGTTCCCCGCAATCTTTTCATACTGGCTCCATGACAGCCCACAAGCTATCATTTCCTCCTTGCACGATCTCCTCCATGGCACCCACAACCCGGACACTCAACTCGTCGTTTCCCATCAGGGTTCCACTCGAGGGCCTGCCCTGGTGCATGGTGTCCCCAGTCGGCCTTCTCAGTGTATACCCAATCCAATCCATCTACACTTCCTTCCAGTGCAAATTTGTTCAACGATAGCTTCTTCGTTGGTTCGTTGCCAGGCAGAGTCAGTTCCTTGTTGCGTACTCTTTCTGGTGATCTGATCTTCAGTAACGAGCTAGCGTAGGCAGTTGTCGACGAATATCTGTAGTTCGTTGCAAGTACCTTTCGTAACACACCAAGTCTCTGAACCACCACATAGAAGCACTGACTTGACTCAATTAGGGTTGAAAATCCGTATCTTGTTCACGCCTTTTGCTGAGTGCAGAAGATCTCCACACTGGTCTCAGACTAATCAACGCCTGTCTCGCTTTTCCGATTCTAAATTTGACTTCCTCATCTTCGCCTGTGCTGCCTGTAGTTGAAACAGTGCTTCCTAGATAGGTGAAGGAGGTTACTTCCTTCAAGTTTCTCCCATTGATGGTGATTGGGGTTTGTTGTTGTTGTTATTATTGTTAATTGGGTATCTCCATCACCTCTGTCGTCTCCATATTCACTTGAAGTCCCGTCTTCGCTGCTCTGTCTCTTCTGACAACTTGTTAGTTTTCGCCTGTAGATCTTCAAGTTTGTGTGACATCAGACACAAGTCATCGGTGAAATTCAAGTCTTCTAGGTTCTTCTCCGTGGTGCAGCTAGCGCATCCCCCTCCTCTCGCTCACCACTGTTTGTTGCATGATACAGTCCAGTCGACCACAATCAGGAATATCATGGGTGACAGTAGACAGCCTTGTTTCACTCCTCCCTGCCTTCACTTCAAAAGCATCACTGAGCTTCCCTTTGTGAGTTACTTGGCTGGCATGTGGCATCTTCATATAGTTGTTGAATGAGGCTGATAGAGGTTTGTGGTATTCCGTAGTATTCAAGCAGTTTCCAAACTACCTCTTGGTTGACGCTGTCGAAGGCCTTCTCAAAGTCGATGGAGTTGGGGTAAAGATTCGACTGCCATTCTGTACTCTGTACCATGATGATGCGAAGTGTAGCGTAGCAATTTGGTCCACACATGATTTGTACTTCCTGAATCCAGTCAGCCAGCCTGTTCCCGTCCTAGGTTTGAATCCATCGCACCCTTTAGTCTCTCCAGGATGATGCGGCTCAATATTTTGCTTGTTCTGGGTGGACAGAAGTGTGATTCCGTGCCAGTTATTGCAAACACTGAGGTCTCCCTTCTTCGGCAGTTTGACAAGATAACCCTCCTTCCAATCGCCAGATACCTTCCCTTCCTTCCTTCCTTCCTTCCTTCCACAACTTCTGCAATAGTGGTGTGGTGTGAGCAGGTCTGCTGCCGTTGTCTCTGCGTCTGTTTTCAATGCTTCTGGTAGGATCCCATCTAGTCCTGCTGCTTTCCCACATTTCAGTAGCTGTATGGCGTTCAGGACTTCCACCTTCGTCGGGGGATTTATGTTCACTTGTAGTTCAGTAGCTGCAGGTGGTATTTCCCGACGAAGTGCAGGTGGTGGTGGTGGTCGATTCAAGAGCTTCTCGAAGTGGTCGGCCCATCGTTTCCTTTGCTTCTCTTCTTTCGTAATTATATTTCCTTCATCATCTGTTATTGGTTTCGTCTGTGTTGATCTCTTCCCAGATCGATAGTAACCTGGTTATTTGATACAATGTTGTCGAGTGTCTCTTACCTGCAGCCTGTTCTGCTTCATTTGCCAGTGTTTCGTAGAAGTGTCTTTTGTCTTTCCGTGCACTCCCCTTCACTTCTTTGCCCAGTGTAGTATTTTATACATTGTGCTCAGTTCCTCTTGCCATTGTGCATCCTTGCACTCGTTTATCTTCCGCTTAGCCATCCTCCTCTCCCCGCTCTATCAGCTTTCATGTATCCATCGAGATCCATTCCTTATCTTCTTTCTTCTCCCTTCCTAATACGATTGTGCAGGTTTCTTTCCACATCTCTTTCAAAGACTTCCGTTGTTCATCCACACAGGTTTCTTCAGGAATGTTGATCGATATCTCCCATTTCGCCTTGATGGCTGATCTGAAGATGTCGTTTGTAGTTTTGCCCTTCACTTTCTCTTCTGAGTGTTGAACTTGAACCGCAGTCTATCAACAGCTTCCTTGAAGGCTTTCAACTTGACTTCGAAGTTATGTTCCTTGCACTAGATAGTGAGTGGTGTGAAACCAAATCTGCTCCACTTCTTCATCTTATGTCCAGTAGACTGCCTCTCCACTTGCTTCACATTCAGATGAAGTCGATCTGACTTTGGGTGTGACCTGGTGTCTGGTGAAGTACATGTCAATTTGTGAATATCCTTGTGCTTGAACACAGTCCCTCCAATCACCGAATCGTTGGATGTGCAGAAGTCTGCAAACAATTCTCCATTCTCATTCATTTCACCCAGTGCTTCTCGACCCATGATGAATTCTCTTCCTGTGTTGTTTGCTGTCACTTTCGCATTCATGTCACCCCACCTACTAGAATTTCGATGTTGCCAACTAAGGTGTTGTCCGGTGTTGATGGCAGTTGTCTGTGGAATTCCTCCTTCTTCTCTTCATCTGCATCATCTGTAGGTGCGTGGTGTAGAATCGTGTGATTGTGACGCTCCTTCATTTTGAGTTGAACCTTACTGTCATGATTGTGATTCTGGAGGAGATTGGTTCCCACTGTATGAGAGCCTTCGATGCTGTTGTGGACATCACGATAGCCACTGGAAAACTCAGTGTGCTCGTGGTTGTCGTCTGGGTGACCGGAGTAGATAATTGATTATTTGGTTAAAAGTTTGGAGAGTCCACTCCCATTTCGCCTGCTTTCGCAAATTTCAAGCACTTCAATGTGATACCTTCTCATCTCGTTTTCAATATGGGCAGCCTTGCTGGGTTCAAACATGGTGCGGACATTCCATATCTCCATCCTTACTTTCGCTTTCATGGAGAGAATAGGAGACACATCGGCCAATTTACTTCCCGAAGGCTTTCACCAAACGCCGTCATTTCGTCTTTTCGATTGCAGCGAGGAATAAGTTTCTTTTTATTTTTTATGTTTTGTTTGTGCTTTGAAGTTTCTTTATCGATTGGATTGGTTTTACAGGGTAGGGTTGCTAGCCTTAAGCCTAACCTTTCCTCTTTACCTGGGCTTATGACCGGTTAGTAACTAGTGAACTAGTTAACCAGGCGAGATTTGGTTATAATATAACTTATACTAATTAATATTCGGACACTGTCATTCCGTAAGCAATAAAGTCAACTTTTTCCTTCAAAAATGAAATTATAGGTAAAAATGTCAATGGAAACTTACTTTATTATTTGATTTATAGTCATTTCAATCTATCAGTGTCCAGTGGATACTGTTGATAACTCCACTGTGTTGAATAATTCATGATGCCTACTGCAGACCCAAAATTGTTCTTCGCGTTCTAATGAGAATTTTGCTGGTTCCTTCGTGTGTAAAATTGATGATAATTAAACATTTGACGGATGAAAACAATATGAATGCATTTCACTTAAGCGTGTCATTCAATTACATTCGAAAACCCTCCTTTTGTACCCAGGTGGATAAGTTCACGAAACGCTAACCTGATCTGAAATTATGACTAATCGACAGTGTTTCTTTGAGCTGTATATTGTTAAGCATATGACAATCCTACTTAATAAATGTCTTTAGATGCGTCCACGAATGATAAAAAATAATGTGTAGTATTTTTGCTTACCATAATCGTATAATTTCCACTATTTCATTTTTCGGCAGCATTCGCTACAACGTCTTAAAGTGTTCGTCTATCCATAATTTTTTCCACTTACCACATAAATGATAATTAGGTAAAATGATCTCTTGTCTTCAATGCAATGTGTCTAATTTCACTCTTACACAAAGCAGGAATTTTTAGCCACATGAATCTTATTGCTGATGGAAACATGCATAGAAAGTAGTGAACGTTCGCCAACAGCATTCGTTTGATCACTGCACAAAATAAACATTATTCGTAAATGTGCTTGAGATTTAAACCGGGGTTCAAAATAATATTACGCATATTTTTCGGGGAAGATCGTCTGCAGTTTAATGATAAAACAAGCCAAAATATCAAATCACCTATCATGCAACCTTTTATATCATACATATAAGCTTTTAGATAAGTTTCATGGTATGATTAACAAATTTATGTACTTTTGGGGGATAGTAGCAAGTCCGAAGAATCTTATTTCACAGTATAATACGAATCACCAGCCTAGGAAATAGATTAACTGTAATTCGAAAGAACTCAAGCCTGAATTTTCGCTTTACTTCTTAGAGAGTAACTACGAATCAAAACTGTATTCAGAAAATGTCTGTAAAGAGTGGAGTGCAAAATTACACGAGTAGTCCTGTAGGAATTTGCATTATTGCGTCTTTCCTTCAAAATGTTACGGTAAATATTCCTACCAATGAATTTTCTCTCAGCCACTCATTGTTATTTTATTGGTCCTTATGTAACCAATGCAAATCAACCAGCTTCTGAATATGTAAAGCATTCAAAATAATTCTTAAGGAAAAATCAGTCGGAAATTATGACTATGAATGAGATCATTCTTCAGTAACAAACATAACAAACGATCCCAAAAGCTCATCGGTGAATTAAAAAACCAGAATTAAATGCATCTAAGTATTAAATGCATAAGTCATGTCTGATGAAAATAACTGTTGTCATTTTAATAAAATTTGCTAATGCTGAACTTCAGGACCACATCATCTTATGGGACGCTAGTAACTGGAGGTAAGTTGAAACTTACTACCGTATTCTTCAAAACACACATACCTCTGATATTGGAACTTTTGGCTATGAAACAAATAAGTTAAAGTATTACATTCACACGATAAAAATCTTCTTGTTCATCTGCTGGAAAGCCGAAGACGGAGCCGTGAGTGTTTGCAAAACTGCATTTACCCTCCATATGATCTAAGTATCAGTCTCTTTAATATGGATCACTAAATTAGGATAAAAGTAATAAGTAGTCTGTATATTATTTGTAGTGGGAAAATAAATTGTTTTCACCCTAGCTTCAATTATTCCGCACAGCTTACTGATTTAAAGGCCTTAAATTAAATGAGCTGAAGGGCATTCTTTGCATCTGAGGTAGAAAGGATTACGAAGAGTTTTTAGAACTACTTGTTCTACCATATTGTCTAATTGTTTGCAATTGGATGCATAGTTGTAGTCAAATTCACTTTCAGGTCCGCTCTATTAGTAAAGTCTACTAATTTTGATTGAGTGATATTGTTGACTTAACCAGCCTAATTGATGCCATTTGATTTATTTGGCCGTTGTCCTTGACCTCACAATCAAGTCAAATGATTTGATCTTATAAATAGTTTTAGCTGAAGAATCGAGTAGGATCTGTTAGCCTAAAAGCTTGTTTGTAAATTAGTTGAGAACCCTATGCAGTCTTTATGAACTGTTTTACTTTTAGCATCTTCACAGTATTTTTAAATTCTCACTTCTTGTTTTCTGTTAAACTAGTTCGTTTCTTCCCCTTGACACTCTGTAGCGAAAATGTTCCATCTCGTTGCCCGATTATTCGTAAAAAGCAAAGCTAGGAGAATGAACTCATTAGAAACAGCTTTCCCTATTTTCGTTTGATATAATGCTTATATTTCGATGTATTAAAATGTCTGTTTCTTTGCGAAATATAAAAAGTTGGAAATATGTTCGCTTAATTCTTGTGATGAAATGTTTCGATTTACTCGCCTTGACATCCACTGACTGCATTTCAAATATCCATGCTTACATATAGAAGGAAAATACTTTACACTTACATTATTATTTGGGTTTCAGCTCCTACTTGAGGAGAACTTACATCCCTAGGGGCAGGGGATGACTTTTAGTCTTAGCTGCGCACTGAGTCACGGGATTTTATATTGAGCAGTAAGGTGTTGTAACAAGGTTCTTTGTTCAAACTAAAATTATAAGCTAAATAAAAGCAGCTTAACCAACAGAGTTACACTTTACTTTTGCCTACTCGTTTCTAGTCAGACATTCTTAGTCCTAAACAGTGTTAACGGCTACTGGCACTAACATAACTCGGTTTGCGAAGTAGATAAGAATAGAATTTGAAACTTGAAAGAAATTTTACCGCGACTTAATCCACTGCAAGTATATTGACATTTTACGCATTAATAAAACAAGTAGAAGTGTAGTCGCGAAATTTATCATAGCAATATGACTATTCTCTTTAACTTCACTTGATGACCTCTGTACAACTTAACAGAGGTTATTTATAAAAAGTAGCCGGAAAAGACGCTGAACCAGATAAAACTAGTTTTTATGTAGATGTTTACTTAAGGCCTTTAATGTAGTGTAACTTTCGGATTATTTGTGATTCATCACACTCCATTTAAAATTGCTACTTTCCTCGGGGTTTATCCGTAGACCATCGCTCACGACAATAAGCTTCTCTAGCTAAAAAGTTTTTGTGGGTGTCATTTCTTCAGTTCCTTTTGCAGTTTTCATCATAACAGAAAATTTTGAAAACAATTTTAGTTGGATAACTTAGTGAGGCATTACTGCAACTTGTTTTTAATCAAAAATTTCTTCTCCAAAACTAATCATCCCTAGGACTTCATTATGCTTAGATAGCATATTTTGACCGTACAGATTTTAAAAGTGTGCATCAAAGACCTTAAGATCGAGTTCGGCAACATCGCCTGTTGAAGTGATAGACAGGTTATAAAGAGTTAGCTTTATTATAGTCCGACGAGTAGATAGTTGAATGACATTGAGGTGATAAGTATCAAAGTTTAAGATAATACACTCAAAGTATGCGAGGACAGATGCCTTATGTTCCACTCAATGGTTTGTGGGAGTTCGTTGACCATGCAGTTGTATTCATCATGGACTTACATGTTTTAGAGAATCATCGAAGATCTTATCGCACAAAAGCTCTTTTTCACTCTAATCTGAGGTTTCTCACCGTTTACCTAGCTCTACTGTAGGGCAACCGCAGGACTGAAATGTCTTGCGTTGAACACGTTGCTATTTATCCAGTGGATCGGAATCCAGTGGTCTAAATCTTTCTACCTCTGTCAATTCCAAACATAGTTTGACCATAAGCCACCACCATAGGCGAATATTCTTTTGTACACTTGACCTGGTTAATCCAGCATTCTCACTAGGATTTTGAGAAGTCTACCTTGTAGCAACTTACTAATTAGGTGCAGATTATAATTTAATTGATGGCTTGTGGGCAGTGCTTGATTTCAGGGTAATATTATTCACTTGCTGTACAATTCCTACAGGTTTCCAATGGTTTCCTGACAGATATCAGCCTGTGATGAACACTGTCATTTCATTTGCTAGATGTGTATGATGACAGAAATGACAAGAGTTACCTAGCTCTTGAGTGCAGAAAGCACAATAAGTTAAAGAATGTAGAGTATTAAAAAATCTATTTCATAAATTAGCCATCTCCACACTCACGAATGTAATCATTAAAAGGCAATGATGACGAGTTAAAATTATAATGAAAATTGGAAACTCAGTTTCCGTTAACCTTCAAGTTCAGTGAGACGAGTAAGCGGAATGATGAACGAAACCCTAGAAACAGTATTACTGATCATATATCCCGTATCAAAGTTGAGGCTGCTTTGTTCAGTGTTACACATTTCGATCATTTTTGTGTTCAGATAATCTACGGCTTATTGCTTTGTTGATTTCCTATGTAATCTAACCTGGATAACAAAATGTTTTCTCTGGAAGTAAACAGTTTTTCCGATATCCAATTCAATAAAACAACCAACTTCAACCTTACAGTATATCTTGACTTTATTTGAATATTTGTGTGCATAATGTTAGCTTGACTCCTCTTAAGTGACATATTATTATAAAGTATGATTGATTACAGTTGTGATTCAATGTTTCAGGCTATCATTAGCTAACATAAAAACGATAGCAATCAATCACTTTATTTGTTTCATTCGAGTGGGTACTTTTGTCGCGCCTCAGTTCATCCGGGAATCAAAAGCAATTTAATACAAATTTGTGTTCAAATACGATGCTATCGAATAATCATCACATGCGGAATCTTTATAGAAAAGCCAAACAATTAATACTCTGTCTATATAATTTCCATAGCCTTCCAAACAGGCTGAAAATTGTTTGTTAACACAGTGACTTTTGGTTTAATATCTTACTCAGTCTTACCTATTTCTTTCTCCACTGTTAGTGGTTACCTATGTTGACACATTAATGTGTCAAATTATTTCGCTATTTCAGATTCAAAGATAACCAAAATAACGTTTATGTTAATGAGGGCGATAATCTTATATTCATATGCCCAAAAAACAGGACATTTTCCCAAAATCTTTACTGGGTGAGTTCATTACATATTTATATATATTTGTAAAATTATGTATTTATACACAACAAACCGTCTGAATATTCGACAGCTGAAATGATTGAGTTAAACGTATTAATTAGCAACGGACATAGAACGTACAGCAACAAAAAAAGCCTATAGTAAAATTCATTATGAATATGAAAGAGTATTATAACTCATTTGAAATATGTCTTTCAATACACAACTGCTTAAGGATGTCCTAAGACTTTGATTGATGTTATTCATGCTTCATACCATAAGAAATAACCAAGATGAGTAATGAAAGCTACTTAAACAGTGATTGTATATAATCCCTTAAGATTTAAAATTCATTTAGACGCTTCTTGTACGTAAAAAATTATTTTCTTTTTCAAATCCATTAACGTTTAAGCTTCCTCCACAGCTTATTAAGTGAGATCCCTTTTTGAATGGATAATTCTAACATTAAAGTAAACGAGTTACAAAATTACAGAAATCATCCTGTGAAATATAAGTTAATTTGTTATGTGCTATGCATCGATTTCTTACCGTTCAGCTTACCTAGTACAAGTGAATGCATATTGTTTCTTGGTGCATATTAGACTGTACACGTAGAATAATAACTTCAGATCTTCAAGGATGTTTTAGAAAGAAGTGTTACAGCGATCACCAGAACAATCAGAACAGAAAACTCCTAGGAGGAGTTTAAAGTAGTAGAAGTCTTCCTCTTCCAGGAAAGGTCTCAGAACCAAAACCAGCCTACGAATGCTAATCATATTTGCAGAAATGTGATTAACAGATAAAAATTCAAAGATAATAATTGAAAACACGGATTTACAAGAACGTAAAGTAATACAAAAAAAATATCCTGGAAAAGCTAGTAATTTCCGTTCATTCCGAGTGTATTAGCAACAGCATGGGTGGACTTATGAGTTTTAGCATTTTTGGATTGTTATTCGATGCAACTGACAGTCTAACTTCACACAAATCTGGGCCTCAGTGCTTGGAGCTTACAATAAGGAAGTAAACTGGAGTCGTTTGTGGAAAACTTTTACCAAATACGATAAGCGGTCGTCAACACAACATGCTTTTATTGTTATGTGACTTAACTCTATGTGGAATCTGTTAAATAAACAAAGAACCTTGTGGACTTACAGCTACGATGGTGATATGAAAGGATTATAAGAATGCTTCATATACTTCTGCAAGGTTACCGCTATCAGTTTAACGAACATCAGTGATGAGGGATATGGGGAAAATTCGACAGTAGTTTCAGTTACATGTTGCAATAAGTCAATCTCAAGATCTACATAGTAAAATATGTGAGTCACCACTCAAAAACAGATAAACGCATTGGATAACTCATCCCAAATATCTTCTCTACTCTTATGGCATATCTTAAGCTTTTCTTTTGCACATATAAACATTTATGAATAGCTGATGAAATGCAGTACATTTGGAGTTTTCCTGCCAACTTAATGTACAACTATCACTACATTCATTACAAACATTTTCCTAAACCTAAGTTATCAAAATTAAATTAAATCCAGGATTAACGAGATAGTGAGTCAGAGAAATACAAGATTAGTAATTACAAATCTAAGTCAGAATCAACGACAATTTATATCTCGTGGGAAAAAAAGTTGTGAAGCTGTGGAGTGGGGAGAGAAAAAACAAAAATCATAGTAAAAGAAGAGACTGTCTAAGAACAGGTAGGTTGCGTAATTACATAGAAAACTGTGACCTTTTTAGGTGATTGACAGTCAGTAAGTAATGAAGAGATGGTTTAATCAATAAAAGGGAAGACTATACACGTGCACATGCAAAAAATTAGGTACAGTTACCAAGGCAAAAAAGGTTAACTATAGTATTTTTCTGAGTACAAAGGTCAGATTAAAAATGTTTGATAGCAAGAGCTTCCGTATACCATAATAAACATGGTGTTCTTTGCTGAATATCCTGAAGGATTGAGAAATATCTGATACATCTGAAACATCAGATGCCCTTCTTTCAGTCCACCTTATGTACCTGTTTTTACAAGCACGGGTGAATTGATATACACAGTTAGAGGTGACATGAGGTGAGTATTTGTCTACTTTCGACTTTGTTATTGAGCATACTGTATTATAAATTAGGATAAGTCAGGTAGAAGAAAAGATCCTTCTCAGTCAAACTTTTATTCTTGTGTCTATTCTTTCATATGCTTTGTTCTTGTATCGTTTCAATTTGTCAAGAGAACTAAGTATGTGACACCAACGCCATTAGTTTGTTTGCAACAATAAAGTGGCCGGATAAATGTAGTAAAGATATCACTAATAAATTTTTATTGCGCCTGAAATGTATCCAAATATTCACACTGATTTGTCTGTGAAGACAGTCATAAAATTCCCGCTTGCAAAGAATCAGCTGAGATCGTGAATATGATTTATATTTCATGCGTATCATTACAAAAGACAAATAAAATGTTTTTCTGGAGACAATCGTGTTGACTATACCTCGGAAAATAATAAACGATTTCCGAAACCGTAGAAAAAGCAAATATCACACTTATTTATTTGTTAACTTTGAAATCAACTTTTTCATTCTTTGAAGACTGTCCTTTTCAAAAATTCAACTTCAAAGCAATAAACGACTGCTGTCGAATCATGTATTATTATTTTTGTTAAGCAGTATTTTCCTGCTTATTTTTATCGCTGTGAAAGATATGGAATAGGCTATCAAGACACTGCATCCGCCATCTAAACAGCTATGACTCTGACATAAGAATCGTTTTAGACTTCAATTTTCTAAATCTAATATCACTTAATCACAAGTGTTTCTCTCCAATATCACTTTATCAGGATTATCATTTTACTTTCTAAGTTCCTCATTTGCAATAAATGACTATGTCCCTGCTAAATAACTGAAAATAATAGGGCAGATTCATGACGTCAGCAGCAATCACTGTTTTCAGGATAGTAATATTTCGATAAGTCGATAATCCATTGTTGACAAATATGTCTGAACAACGTCCATCCCTGAAAAAACCTGTGTGGATGAACACTGGAAGTCTTTGAAAGAGATGTGAGAAAAAACCTGCACAATCGTATTAGGAAGGGAGAAGAAAGAAGATAAGGAATGGATCTCGATGGATACATGAAAGCTGATAGAGTGGGGAGAGGAAGATGGTGAAGCGGAAGATAAACGAGTGCAAGGATGCACAATGGCAAGAGGAACTGAGCACAATGTATAAAATACTACACTGGGCAAAGAAGTGAAGGGGAGTGCACGGAAAGACAAAAGACACTTCTACGAAACACTGGCAAATGAAGCAGAACAGGTTGCAGGTAAGAGACACTCGACAACATTGTATCAAATAACCAGGTTACTATCGATCTGGGAAGAGGTCAACACAGACGAAACCAATAACAGATGATGAAGAAAATATAATTACGAAAGAAGAGAAGCAAAGGAAACGATGGGCCGACCACTTCAAGAAGCTCTTGAATCGACCACCACCACCACCTGCACTTCGTCGGGAAATACCACCTGCAGCTACTGAACTACAAGTGAACATAAATCCCCCGACGAAGGTGGAAGTCCTGAACGCCATACAGCTACTGAAATGGGTGAAAGCAGCAGGACTAGATGGGATCCCACCAGAAGCACTGAAAACAGACGCAGAGACAACGGCAGCAGACCTGCTCACATAACACCACTATTGCAGAAGTTGTGGAAGGAAGGAAGGAACGGAAGGTATCTGGCGATTGGAAGGAGGGTTATCTTGTCAAACTGCCGAAGAAGGGAGACCTCAGTGTTTGCAATAACTGGCACGGAATCACACTTCTGTCCACCCAGAACAAGCAAAATATTGAGCCGCATCATCCTGGAGAGACTAAAGGGTGCGATGGATTCAAACCTAGGACGGGAACAGGCTGGCCGACTGGATTCAGGAAGTACAAATCATGTGTGGACCAAATTGCTACGCTACACTTCGCATCATCATGGTACAGAGTACAGAATGGCAGTCGAATCTTCACCCCAACTCCATCGACTTTGAGAAGGCCTTCGACAGCGTCAACGAAGAGGTAGTTTGGAAGCTGCTTCAATACTACGGAATACCACAAACCTTAATCAGTCTCATTCAACAACTATATGAAGATGCCACATGCCAGCCAAGTAACTCACAAAGGGAAGCTCAGTGATGCTTTTGAAGTGAAGACAGGTAGGAGTGAAACAAGGCTGTCTACTGTCACCCATGATATTCCTGATTGTGGTCGACTGGACTGTATCATGCAACAAACAGTGGTGAGCGAGAGGAGGGGGATGCGCTAGCTGTACCACGGAGAAGAACCTAGAAGACTTGAATTTCACCGATGACTTGTGTCTGATGTCACACAAACTTGAAGATCTACAGGCGAAAACTAACAAGTTGATAGAAGAGGTAGGGTAGCGAAGACGGGACTTCAAGTGAATATGGAGACGACAGAGGTGATGGAGATACCCAACTAACAATAGCAACAACAAACCCCAATCACCATCAATGGGAGAAACTTGAAGGAAGTAACCTCCTTCACCTATCTAGGAAGCACTGTTTCAACTACAGGCAGCACAGGCGAAGATGAGGAAGTCAAATTTAGAATCGGAAAAGCGAGACAGGCGTTGATTAGTCTGAGACCAGTGTGGAGATCTTCTGCGCTCAGCACAAGGCGTGAACAAGATGTGGATTTTCAACCCTAATTGAGTCAAGTCAGTGCTTCTATGTGGTGGTTCAGAGACTTGGTGTGTTACGAAAGGTACTTGCAACGAACTACAGATATTCGTCGACAACTGCCTACGCTAGCTCGTTACTGAAGATCAGATCACCAGAAAGAGTACGCAACAAGGAACTGACTCTGCCTGGCAACGAACCAACGAAGAAGCTATCGCTGAACAAATATGCACTGGAAGGAAGTGGAGATGGATTGGACATTCATCAACAACTGCTTACGCTCGCTACTGAAGATCAGATGGCCAGAAAGAATAAGCAACAAGGTGCTCTGGGAACGAACCAACCAAGAACCTATCACGCAACAAATATGCAGGAGAAAATGGAGATGGATTGGGCATGCACTGAGAAGGCCGACTGGGGACATCACGCGTCAGGCCCTCAAGTGCGATCCCCATGGGAAGTGACGAGTTGGACGTCCAAGGGTGACCTGGAGGAGGTCGTGCGAGGAGGAAATGATAGCTTGGAGACGTGCTACTGAAGCCGTGTGTTCCATTAGGAACCTAAAGGACAAATAATAATAATAACGTCCATCGATTTTGTTGTTCGTGAGGGTGATTGAACTTGTTTGTTTCGGAGTTTTCAAACACTAGTGTACTAACAGAACAGTATGAAATCAAATTTTTTATGAAACTAGATCGGATAAATATACCGGATTGGACTGATTTTTAACTTTCTAGCTTCTACAGTTACGGAAATATAGCTCAGGCAGTTATAAAAAGCCTGTTGTAATTAACATAAAAATTATTGTAGTGTAGCTATCTTGAGAAACAGTAGAAAATTTGTTTTCAAATGCAGAAGTAATCCATGGTTGGTCGAACATGCTTGTCAGTGAAAATGCCTGTCAATCAAACGTCATTTCTTTAAGTCATAAATTATGAAAATCCATCAGCAATAGTGGTAACAATTCCTTCTATTTAATACGCTGTACAATTCTATTCAAACTAAAAGAATCAAAAATTGACCCTGAAAACAGGAAATAGCGCCTCAGAATTGGTGTGATTATAAGTCAAACAACTACCAAAAGAGATATGTAATAAGCATTTGAATGGTAGTGTTGTTAATTGCCCTATCCTACTGTTAATTGAACCGAAATTGATTGTCTGTATTGGGATATGGGCAGCTGTGCGGATGCCAATAGAAACCGATCTGTTTGGTTCGTTCAGTGACGGGGTAATGGATGTAACAACATTAAAACCACACCTGTCGCACAAGAAGTGGCCATCGTAACTCCATTGCACAGCATATAACGCTCGGACTTTTACAGCGATTGGTCTCGAGCCCGAGTCCTGGTTAGAAGACGTCGCTCATTAGGAGTCGAGTCCATCAAGTTGACTACTTGCAAACAAGATTGAACACGCTTCTTTGACCACGCCGTTAGCTGCTATCCATCAATAATACAAAAGTTAGATGTTAGTTTAAAGAAGAATAAGTTTATTAACTCAAAATTGATTCAAATAAAGTTTTCTCAGCAACTTATTCTATAATTTTGAATGATTTATTGGTTCTCAGCAATGACTTAACATGTAATTGAGGTACACAAATAAAATTTTCCCAGCATAGTTATTTTTTTTTCATACTCTTCGCGGGATTCCAATTTATTGGCTAAAAACATTTACCGTTCTTTATTTCATTCAGTTTCAGTGTAAAATATGATTGTTTATGACCGTATGTATAAAACTGAACTTATATAATTTTTTCAGTGAGCAAATCCCGCTAAAACTACTTTTATTACTTTTATGAAGCTGTCAACTCAATGATATTTCTTCTTCTCTAAACGTTGCACAACCCAATAATCACTAATATTGGGTGATGACTGAAAGTTAAGTTTAGGTCCCAGCGCAATTCGAATCAGCCCCCACCGAGTCACGGCTCCCGTACGTTGCCATTTAAGGTATGAAACGTAATCACTAGCCATCACACAGGTCAAATGGTCGAACTGACAGCCAATGATATTTACCAGCACCCCACAAAAAGTGAGGTATTTCCAAATTACTAGTTTAAAATCTGTTTATTCCTAAGTAGGTTAAAAATGATAGATTTGTGATTTTGAAAATCAAAGTCTCACAATTCATCTTCACCTTCGAACTAACATATTTACGTAGGTTGTCCTTCCTTCAGTTACGTGTTCTGTTTATTAATAATAACTTGGAATATAAGAATTTGTACAAAAGACCTACCTTACAAATACAAGCAGTGATAAGCTGTTTGTAAAACAAAGAAATGAATGACATTTGACTATTATCTTTGCATATGCCTTCTTTAACAGACTGATGATCCTCGTGTACAAATGAAATGCAAAGAAACATTGCCTATCAAAGTTATTAAACTTTTGGATTGTTTCGGCAATAATTCAGTCAGAGAATTTGTCCTCAAGGTTAGTCGATTTCCTGAAATCGCATCACTACCAAGTTTTCATTACAACTTTCCCGTGCATTTTGTAGGTGAGTTCAGTCATTACAAAGGAAAAAGCCTTTGCTTTTTTCCTCAATTAAAATATTTAATTATTGAGTAAACCTATTTCAATTGAAAAGTGGAAAATGCATAGTGTTTTATGCACAACGTGTTTGAAATAAACAAATCATTTTGCTTTAACCGGATAAGAGTGGTTACCCTAGATATCTCATAAAAACTGCCAATGAATAATTGTTTCGCAGCCTTAAAATATTTTTAGTGCTGCTTTTTCCCTTTAAACTTGCTGCACAGTGCTGTTACATATCTCTAAATTATAGATGTTGTCTTCAAATTATCTATTTTGTGCAAATACAAGTGAAGCTCCCTTTATGTTATCACACAAATTCACATCCTTGGATATCCTATTGTAATTCATTAAATGTCAAACTGTTATAGTGCATCCTGTATGAAGAGGCATTTCCTTTATTTTCATGGCTTTTATAAACTCAAAAAATTTTCTGCTAACTTTCCTGGATGTTGGTCTCCATTCGTCTTCTACTATGAAAGTTTAGACGATACGCAAATGTTTGTATTTAAAGATCTTCAACTGATGAAACTTGGTAATGTAATTACTCTTTTTTAACTAACCGGACAAAAAACCTATTGGAGAATCACGAAAAGCCTTTATCTGACAACTTTCAAAAAAATATAAGTCTCATTTGACGATGGTCTTTAAAAGTCCGCGTATGCTGTGATCATACCCTTGAAATAGGATATTCAGTGCACTTCACGTGCTAAAATTGTTACGTTGATGCAACTTTGTGAGATTTTGAATACTTTAGTGATAAAGTATGGCACATATTCAAATTGAATTGGTCGACCTGTCATATTTTGGTTGGATGATTAAGTTGCCTCGAAATTAGTGGCCAAATTCTAAGAGTTAGAAGAAATAATTTTCCTAGAAACACCTGGAAACATAAGGAAGTTGAATATGTTCGTCCATAACATTGTGTAAACAAGCTGACAAAGAACACCATCACCAGTAAATACCCCAAAGCTAGACATTTCGTTGGGAGTTACATTAAAAAAATTGTTCTCTCATTTGTTATACGGGTGTTTCTAGTTCATCATCAAATTGCACACCCTAATAAAAAGAAACCAGGGGATAACGTGCATTCAAAATGTCTTTCGAAATAGTAATAAGAAAACCAGTGGCTCTCCTATTACTAGTGACTAACGGAAAACTTAACCCCTCTCTTTTTCTCAAAAAATAAGCAAAAATGAAGTGTTTACAGACTATTCCGATAAAGTTTTATTTGGCATCGAATTCGTTAGTACTGTAAGGTAAATAATGAACTGATGTTTAAGGATGCGTTAATAAGTGGGGTGGATTTAGTGTAATGCGGAACTCAAACACTTAAGAAACCAGCATAAGTTGATCAAATACTTAACTATTAAGGCAGTTACCGGGAATAATTTGTGCAGAAAATTTTTGCAAACAACAACGAAATAAAGCCAATCACGGTGACCATTGACAAAGTCATGAAATCAGACAGTAGCTATCTTTCGTAAATATAGCCATCTATAAACCTTCACCATGACGGACCATAATTGGTTAAAAGCTTAGTTCTGGAAGGTAGAAGAAATGTCATCCCGTATTTAGATGTAAGGCTTCAGAGATCGCGTTTATTCTAGCAAAGGCAGTTAATTAACAGACAGTACTCTTTTACTTAAGTTCTATTGTTTAGAGGAAACATACCTCAAATACTCTGCAAAAGAAGATCTAGGAAATAGCACGAAACATCAGACTGTGATTAATCGATATCCCATTTATTTGCACTTGAAGAAGCATAAGGGAGAAGCCTGATCCCAAGACGCGTCTTCACCCATGTTACTACACACAGGCAATTGCGGATATAAATTTGTCAGATAAGGTGCTCACGTCCGGGTAAAATAAAAAATGCATGTAGTTTTTGAAAGCTTGACATACACATGAGCCGTAACATAAGAGCTTATTTGCACCAACTCAATGTATCCTTGAGTCAGAAAACATCAGAAACAACAATCAAACCGTGTAAAGTTGTAGTATGAGCTGCGGAATTCAAACATATGTCTGGGGAAAGGTAATGTCAAGGGACTTCAAGATGATGAAGAATTCCTTTAGCTCAGGAGGACAACTTTGATTATATTGTGCTCTCTGAGCTGGATGTTTAAATCGTAAAGCTGCCATTATCATTCTAGACAGCATCAGTACAAACTTCAGAATGAATTCTTGTTTTATCGACTAGTAAGCTAACCAAATTCATGTTTCCTAATTCTGGGTGGAGACCGAATTCCATCGACCATTTTCGCAGTATGGCCACCAGGCTAGGTGGTTCACCACTGCGATGCACTTTGATGGATGTAAGTTGGTTGGAGGCAACTAGCAGGAAGCCCTAGAACTAGTTCCCATGCCTTTTGGAACTTATCAGCAAACTGTATTTGGAAACACTACGGAACTGGATTTTGTGTTGATGTCTAGAATGACGACGGAGGCTAGATGAATAAGTAACTCATCTGAGGGAACACGACACCAACTTTCATCAATCTCAACTACGAGTGACAAAAAACTTCCCGATCAATGGTTCACTTGTGGCATAAGTTTCTTATCTGTGCATTCAGAGTCACTAGGTACTTTAGTGAGTCACTGATAACTGGAATTATAAGGAAAACGTTCATGAGATCTCTTTACTTTTTATAATCATAACCTATTTTGAAAAACCAGACCACGAAGTATTTGTTTTCACTACTCAATTTGTTCCCATGTTTTTCGAAGAGGGAACTGCCAAAGGACACCTCGATAGAAACAAACTGCTTGCTTAATTTCTAATAGCAGCGGCAAATTATGCTGATAGATTATCAGTAGAAAAATATCGAACTATCCCAAAAATATTAAGTGCACAAAACTCAGGTGCACCAAACCACCTTACTCTGAAACAAATTTAAAACCGTCTATCTAATCTTAACATTGAAAATCCTGTAATTTATTGATACTGCAGAACATAATATACGAAATAAGCTAAAAAGATGTCTACCTTAGGTGACTGACGTAGAATTTTGATCGATATTATGCGAAAAGTGTGAGTCAGTACTCAAAATTTTGAAACTCAAACCTATTTCCAGTACTTTTTTTTCGATTGGAATTAACCTAAATGTTAATTTTGCAAGTATATTTTCATCAGAATTCTATTAATCTGTTAAAAACTTATTTTTTATGTTTAATTAAGCTCAATCTGTTATATGCCAAAATAACAACTTTCGTTTAAGTGTCAAACTAGCCGTAACAAGCATGACAGCCAATTCTGAAAACCTCAATAAGCAGTTACAATTTGGTATTGACGAACAAGCAAGGAATCATTCCAGAAAATGTGAGTCCGTTGCATTGGCTTTGTTAAAAAAATCCTCGCTGTTATCGTTTACTGTCGGAGTGTAAGTGTAGTGACGTGTCTCCTGTATGCAGGTATACATGCCAAACTTGAGACTCGATTCCAATGTCCATAGAAAGTTTAGAAACTTCTATGTTCATGAAGCATACCTCATCAAAACAAGACTATCTAGTAGACAATTAGTAGGTGAAAATCAAAATAACTTTTGACTACGTTTATTCCAGAAATGAACCTTCAGAAAATACTTGAATTCCTTTAGTTTAGTTAGTAATAGCTATCCTGAGGGGACACTTGTTGGAAATGCTGTTTTCGAAAACATGCTTTTTGTAGATAACAACTACGAAACTTGTAATACTAAAATATTACAATTATAAAATTCACTGTAATTATGCCAACGAATTCTGAAGAAAGCTAATTATCGTTTATCCAGTCCTTAACAAAAAAACATTTTTCGGTGAGTTATCAGGAATAGGGGAAATAAACACCTTTAAGTTGTTTCGCAGTAGTTCAATTTTCACTTCAACAGACAATAAAGTCATGCAATTGTAAGTACAGGTCTTCTTTACTGCATTAATAATGATACGATTGCTGAGTTTACGAATATCGAGGGTGTATATTTTGATGACAACAGAAATAAAGTTATCGATGTAGGTCCTACATTCCTTGCAGACTTCAGTAGGAGAAAATCATAGCTAGACCGTCTTACTGGAAGCGATTCTTCTTCTAGAACTAGGTTGTGCAGATTTTTACCAATATGGAAGCATTGTTATCTGAATGATCATAGATTAACGCTGTTAATTAATATCAGAGAGCATGACAATTGACCCTAAAGCTCCCTTGTGAAAATCTTTGACCACCTAGCATCAGTTGCAGCACACTGCAAGAATGCGCTGTCTATCTAGATGACCACATGATGAACTTCGTAGGAAACGTTCACTCAAGATCCAAAACCAGACGATCAAATAATGCTCGCTTTCAGCTACTAATCAGTGAACAGCTCATCTTCCAGTTTGTACATCGTCATTCAATAAACTGCTGTTATAACGAAAATAGCTAGTAACAGAAATAAGTTTTCTAAAGTCCAGTATGTTCTCTTTATATTTGTTTTGCATTCATGGAAACTCACAGAGTTTAGTCTTCGAGTTCAGTGATTGTAAATTAAAGTAAAAGCAGTAAATTTCATCAAAACATTTAAGAAAATCATGCGCTTTTTTTAAGTGACCATGGTCGCTTACTAACTTTTAAGGATAATTTTTATACTGGAACGTTTTTAAATGCTCGGAATGACTGAAAAGGTCAGTGAAACAAGAGGTCTTTAGGCTAAAACTTAACACAAGGTTAAACCCAAATTTTCATTTGACTGATCCTATTTTGTAGTTATTTCATTTATGATACTATTTTTCTGTTAATAGATATCTAGGCACAAAAAGACTTATAGTTTCATCGTTTGTTTTAACATTTTTAGCAGTTTCTGGACTAAATACATCTTTCTCCAATCATCTGCAAAATGAACAGAAAAGTGTTGCTGAAAACGCTTCTTCTAGCATACGTCGAAATCATGAATTCATAAGTAAAGAACGCATAGTTTGGAATGAATATCAGTTTCTACTCTTACCAGCTGCGTTAGCATTTTTGACGCTGATTGGTATGCAAATTGTCCTTTGCGGATTTTGGTTGTCTAACTCAATCACAAGCAAATTTATTCAGTGGTTTGGTAGGTGTGGGCATTCAAAAAAGTTGAGGCCGGAAATAAGTCACAAAAATACGAGACGAAAACTTGTAGGGTTGAACAGAAAGAATGAAGCTGAAGAATCGCGTAAACTGTGTGAACTTAGCTCAGCTAAGTATACAATGAGCGGAAAACAATGCTTCTGTTGGGTTACACCGGCTCCATTATCAAAAAACAACTCTCAAGTTATGTGTACGATAAAACAAAACTATGCGAATGCTAATTGTCTAAGTAATCTCAGTCCCTTAAAAGATTATGACAACATAAACCAAATTTTAAATCAGAAACCTTATGACTCCTGTCACCGAAAACACCATTGTTACCAATCACCGTTATCACTAAAGTATTTGGCCAAAAGTAACGAGTTAAAAAGGTGTTCATTTACTCAAGCCATTCCAGATACTTCAACAGTTTTATGTAACCATTTATATCACTCGGCTGATGTCACATCTATCGCCAGTCAGAGGTATATTGTACCTCTTTCAGTCTATCCAAACTTACAAATTCCTAAAACAGTACAGATAAATATTCCAGGATATTCAGAACGAGTCTAAAAACCAGTTTTCGTTTTTTGTATATACTTACATTTACCACTGCAATGCAAACTGTTACATTTTCAGAGGAAAATAAAATACTGCCTTCTGCTACCTGGAAATTACTTTAGAGAACTCTCATTTTAAGCAAAAACCGGGGTGGAAATAACATAATGTGAATACATTCGACAACTATCTCCATAATATTTGTAAACTTTATTATTCTTCTTTTTTGTTTCCTCTTATTAAACATAATCAAGATGACACAGTACTATGCCGGAATGTACATTTGTGAAGTCACTATTTTTGGTGTATCGTTTATTTTTATGTAGTTAATATTTTCTAGAAAATCAATAAAACTGACAGACAAGGAAATTCTCTCATTTTCTGTTATTGCATTTATCGACGAACAAGCTTTTCATTATACACATACATATTTTTGAGATGAATGGGGATTTTTAATTTAGAAGTAGTATTCATCATGGACTGACATCAGTTGGGGAACTATTGAAAATCTGGAAGCACTGGACAGCTATTTCGTCCTAGTACGGGACTTCTCATCAGTACACACCCACGATCCGGCTAGAGATCGAACTCAGGACCTTCAGATTTCACGGCGAACGCATTAACCATTCAGCCACTGGGTCGGTTTCCAGTGGTTAACGCGTTCGCCGCGAAACCTGAAGGTCCTGAGTTCAACCCCTAGCCGGGTCGTAAGTGCGTACTGCTGAGGAGTCCCGTACTAGGATGAAACAGCTGTCCAGTGCTCCCAGATTTACAAAAGTTCCCCAACTGATTTCAGTCCATGATGAATATTACTTATATATATATATATATATATGTAGAGAGAGAGAGAGAGAGAGAGAGAGGAACTTGAATAGGATGATCGAAAGAAAGTATAATTCGTGGATGAAAAAATGGCAAAAAAATACCCTTTTACCTACTCATTCTCGAGCCGTACAGTCGCATTTATAACTATATATATTATATTTATCTGGTGACATAAAAGGATTACTTTCACAAGCATGGCAGTTTTGTATTAAAGATCTGGATATTCAAGGAAGAAATTGTGAAATATGAATAGAATGACTTTGTGAACAGTCAGTTGCCTCGAGTATTTCGAGGAATATTTGATGGGGTCTATGTAATCTTCTTTGCAACTGCTTACTCCAGTTGTATGTGGGTTGTTCCACTACCGGAAGTTTGAAAATAAGGATGGTTTTCTCAAGGGACTACTGTCGTAACTTTGACGTTTTTGGGGATCCACAAGATAAGGGAGCATTTTCACGGTTAACGATAAGTAAGATAAGCCAATAAGCTATTTCTCATTTCCAGATGGTTAGGCTCAGATGCATCACTTGTCTGTAATCAAGATTCACTAAATCCTCTTGGTGTGCCCTTCATGTACACTGATCTAGATGTACGTTCTGCTCCCGCCCTCTTGCTTTTAAGTAAACACCCTTCCCTAAGAGAAGGCAATAAATAGGATTAATGTGGCAGTTTTATTGTACTAATACGTGAGATTTTTCTTACGGAAACGTAGTCAAATAACCTTAACCTAATTTTGCAGATCCCTACCTTTCCTAAACATATCTTTTAAATGATTGTATACAAAAATGTGAGTATCCTAGTGTAAATAATAAGAGAAGTACTGAGTTGTACCAGCTAAATGTAAGAATTACCGAGTTAGACAGTGTTGTTTAATTTAAGTTATGCATTTAAAATAACACATTGGTTGCTTTAATACTTTGCCTAAAACCTGTTTGCAAAAATGCAAACTAGCTAAGAATGTAATTGTCCCTATTTTAGTCCAAATTACATATTAAATCTTTCTTTGCTCTCAAGTGAATGTATTCATTAAAAAGCCAGTAACTCCTACCTAGTTTTCATCATATGCGCAAAAAATGACGCACACAAGTAAAGCCAGAGATGAGAACCTATTTCCTCAGATTTTTCCGAATGTCTGTGCTTCGTGTTTCGAAGGTCATTTTTGTGTTACAACTGAGAAACCCATAATATAATGTGAACTTCCCTCAAATTTGATCATCCAAAAGTGGTGGTGTGTTTCACAAAACCATTTGCTCCCCGGTGACAAGAATTAAACACATAAATATGGACTTACTAAAGTAAAATGTTCAACGGTTGGTGAAAACAGTGCTGTCAGCGACTTAGTATATGCATATATATATATATATACTGACGGTAAAGTTCAGGAACATTATATCGGGAAACTCACTAAGGTTTCTGAAATACAGTTCACGCGTTTAGCACAAATTTCAAAATGTTGTCACTGTCCCCACTTTATTTGTAAGCATAAAATGTGCAGATAGTTATGTAGTTCATATTTAACCTCATCTAATCATTTCAAAAAAAATTAATCTATTGTTTCTAATTACTCAGAGGTTTATCGATTGAGTAGTCCCTATTTTACAAACTTCATGTACTACTTGTCACCCATATTTAAGTTACTGAGGGGAATATGCTTACCAACTTATTAAACAGTATACCACTTCTTATATGCCCCACTTATGTTTCACTTGTATGACACTGTTCAAAATAATTTCTAGGTTTTGAATATGGACAATAAAAATTCTAATACGACACTTGTTAAGTCCAGTTACAGTTTATTTTCCTTCAATTTACCTCAATTATTAAAATAATAAAAATACACACAAATACAAAAACCATGTATATTATGAAAGATAAAGAACAATTATTCTCATGAATCATATTTGTAAACAAGGATTCTCTTCACAACGATCAATTTTTTTAATCTATATCCTAGTGTCTTAATGTTTTTGTGTCAACATATATTTATCCCCAATGGCAGGCAGAATTCATTTTGTTGGAATATAAAGAAGCAAGTCTTTTCAAGATTTTGTTTGTAAGTGGTGTATCAAACATATTATATATTCATAGCATGCAATCTGATAATAATCCTAGATAAAAACGTAAAGGCTCCCCCACTAGTTGTTTATTACTAAAGGATAAATGAACAGAAAAAGATATTTGAATAGATGTTCATTATCTAAGTTAAATGAATCCCCAATAAAAACAACCTGTTACATCTGAAGACTTGCGGCGTAATTTACATTATTTCTGATTCTATCAAAGAAAAACTATCCATGAATCTAAATCAGCTTTCAGCCCAAAATAACATCAGCTAGATAGCCACTGAAAGCAGAAGAACACTAAACAGTTGTTTTGTCCTGGGTTGAAGCTTATCAAAGCTTAGAGGATTTGTTGAAGAGGATTATTTTATTCTAAAGCAACTGATAATGAAGTTATAATTGCGATATTCGAGTGTTCTGGAAATGTAATGCTAAGCTTTCTCTGGAAAGGATGAAACTACTGGTTAAAAATTTCTAGTTTCCAACAATTCATAAATAGATATGAATAAACAATTCCATACTAGATTTCTTTACTTGATATAACACGAAATGAAAAAGTATCATTTACTTGACCATACCAATGTAATCACACTGCTTTCAACATCAAATTTTTACAGTTCTAACATTTCATATTTTTTTGATTTTATTGGTAGCGAACTTTTTATATCTCTGGTATGTATCATGTTACTCTAAATGCACCCGCTAGGTGCTGATTCGATGGACAGTGATTCGGTAATCGAATATTTGTGGCTTAGGTGGATGGTCTTGGTTGTATTGTGTTCTCTGAGCTGGGTTGTTTAGTCGTGAAGCTTTCATCATCTTGTTAGACGACATCATCAGCACTAACTTCAATATCTCTCCGTGAGTGATTTAGTAACTTGCTCTTAAGATGTGGTCTGTGATCGATTGTTTCCTTCGATTGTTGTGTCATTGACTGTATACAGTCGACCAATCACATCTTAAGAGCAAGCTACTAAATCACTCACGGAGAGATATTGACAGCTTACTTCATACTGAAGTTAGTGCTGATGATGTCGTCTAACAAGACGATGAAAGCTTCACGACTAAACAACCCAGCTCAGAGAACACAATACAGCCAAGACTCAGTAACCAATCTCTCTCCACTTAACTACACTGAACTTAAATACAGTGGTTTCGTCTCACCCTATTGTGTGGTTGTGTGTTGATCAATGCATTGCAGTGGCTGAGTTTTATCCAAACTATTGATCTTACTAGGTTCTCTCATTCTATACTTAGCCAAATTCCCATTTTCCACTAATCTTACCTACCCCGACCTGCTAGTATGACCTACGTATTTGACCTCACAGCCATTGCATTGAATTTAGCAGATCAGATTATTTTTCTTGATGAGATCTATAGGATCCTTGAGTTGGCAAAGTATGTCTCTAAATGAGTTTTTAGGTTTAAATACCAACCTAATTTCAGCCTTGTTAGAAATCCTAAGTAAAGTCTCTGGTGTTTTTCCCCTATTCGGCAACACAGCAGAGTCTTTAAACTTCTTTTTACTTGCGCTGTTGCTTTTATTTGTATTCGTAATACTGTTATTATTTCGTTTCTTACGTTCTTACTAATTTCTTTATAAATTCTAGAGGATAGTTATGTTAGTAACACTTCTTTTATGTATTTCAATCCCTTGTTTAAGTCCTTAGGCTAACTAGTGGGATTTTTAGCTCTGTTATTCAGAGGTTTGACGAAACTCCCCTCAGCTAACATTGGGTGAGATGACTCAATGTCTAGATACCTGTTTGAATGTATCGACTTCCTGTAGAGGGTAGCATCTAAAACACCGCTTGTTCCCTCTTTTACTCTGCAGTCTGAAATAGCTAATAGTCTTTGTTCATTTTCTACCTTGCAAGTGCATTGGATTGCAGCAGGTTCCTTACACATACAAAGTGAGTAATAAATGCAACCAACAAAATAATGACACCATCTTTACACTTCAGATAACTTTATTATGATTTCACAAGGATTAATACACCATACAACCGTAACTTACACGAATTTGTGTCAGTTTCCTGTATTGTAGTGCAATATTCAGAATTTGGCTTCAAGTTCAACGTTAATGTGAAAAAAACTGAAAAGGTAACTAGTAACCTCCTCTACTCCCTACAATGACGTCTTTTATCCCCAAGCTACAGGAATGATATTATGGCTGCAATTACTTCTAACTACTGTGGTCAAGCCACTTTACAAAAAAAATCCCTAACCAAAATCAGAAATTATATCCTTAAATATGTTGAGTATGTCTGATATTTCAAACTGTCGCAATAAAAACAGTGTTTATGCAGATTTACTACTACTCAAATATAGAACCTGTATAATCAACACTCTAAAAAGGGGTTTGCAGAAATGATCGTGAAAATGTTCTAAATATGGGTTTTAACTTTGCACTCAATTTGTTCAGTAAACACGCTTATGTTATTTGACGTTTTTTGAAAATAAATTTACTATTTTAATCGAATGTTTGAAGGAAATGTGTCTTATGATTTCCCGAGT